AAAAAAAAAAAAAAAAAAAAAAAAAAAAAAAAAAAAAAAAAAAAAAAATCAGACGTTGGTAAAACTGATCCTGACGAATCTCGGCAATAGAGAGGGTGTAGTGTTACACTCTCCGCACATGTATACATACAATATACGTATAATGTCTTTGTGCTGCTAGAATAACTGCATATATGGCTATTAACTTATGTGGTGAGTGCACGTTACGTGTCTGATATTACTTGATTGTTTGCTTGTTGAACACAATTTTCATCACAACAATTACACTGCTAACGCGATTAGTTACACATAGGTAATTTTATAATATAAACGGGGGGAAAAAAAAATTAGTGTGCACAATGATCGATAAAAGTATAAAAAGTCGAGGCCACGATTTATACTATACTTATTGTTTACCTTTTGGTTTTTCAATTTCAAAAGTATTTTGTTCAAAAAAAAAAAAAATGCTTACGTTCGTAGTGATGAATAAATAAAAAATAAATTTTTAAAAATCTACAACAAGACATGAGTACAGTAAAGGTGCCGATATATAAGCTTGGGATTTCGTAGTTTACTCACAGTTCTATTATTTTCAGAAAGGAAATTATGAAATCCAACGTGTACATATAGATATACCTACATCTTCGTAAGTATTGTACTGTTTTTGGAATTATGCCGACTATTTAATAAACTGTATCAATAAGCAAATACGATATCTATGATGGTAATTATGCAAGGCATAAGAAAAAAAAAAAAAAAAAAAAAAAAAAAGACTTTATCAAGCGATTGATCGTTTACGAAACAAAGTTGAGCAGAGTTGGGAGTATGAATCCAAGCATCGAATATAATATGCGTAATAGAAGCGCGTATGTTTATCAAATAAATTAGTCTCATATCTAACATGTTGCTTCTGTTCACGTGTTGTGCGTCAATCAAAATATATTTAACAGCCTGAGCACTGATTACATTCACTATCTTAATATTGTTAATTCAGTGTTTGTTTATTTATTACTATAGGTACTTTTTTTTTTTTTTTTTTTTTTCAAATTAAAAAAATAAAAGATTAAAGGATTTTGTTGAGAAATTTTCTTGTTTGACAAACCAAATTAAAAAAAAAAAAAAATCCATTTTTGCCATTGATTATACCGTCCAAACAGCGCCCAGTAAATTTTTTACAATAAGTAAAGACAGTGTCGTATATTGTGGGGCAAAACTTTACACAGCTATAGCATGCGCAGTTGACCATAGGAATTCAAATATAGTTCATGCGTTTATACAGACTATACGTTAAGTATGTGATATCACCATGTAAATAATTTACCTTTGCGTGCAGATTCTCGTAATTAAGGTTTATTTAATTACCTGGCAAGAGTGTAGCAAAAAATTTGCTGTTGTCCCGAGCTCTCTGTACGGTATATAGCATGTAATACTGCTATTTAAAAAAATGTGCAGATGCAGGTTGATAGTACAGTACGGGTGTGCCCAGATTCGAAAAAAAGATAAGGTCGGAGTAGTAAAAATATCGGTCACTTTTTTTTTCTTCAATTATTATAGTGTCAAATGGCTCGCTGTACACGGGACTCTGTTGCGTCAGCCGCGTTCTTTTAGGAGCGATATGAATACTTTACCTACATGCCACAGGCGCGCTATCAAGATCGAGATAAAAATGATCTACCTTGGAAAAGCGCTTGCAATGAGTTTATTTGGTGTGCGTCATTTTTCAGGAACCCAGCGATCTTCGCTTCACTCTGTGTTTTTCTGAACTTTTAACAACATTTTATACGTATTGCCGTTTTACTTCATTTTATTTAGTTTTCACTATAATCAGAATTTTTATTTTTATTTATTTATTTATTTTTTTAATCCAAAAAGAATCGATGAATCAATTAAGTAATGCGGTTTCTACATTATGGGCTGCATCGATTTATGCGCATACTTGACATTCCAAAAAAAAATACACAATACCGTCAAAAACTGGGCTGGATATTCAGTCTTTGAAATCTCAAGAATCTTTTTTTTTTTCAACTGCGTAGCTAGCTGTTTATTTACAATGCAGAAAGTGGGGCACATTTGCGTTGGAATGAATCCAAAAGATTGCATGAAAGTCGTTTTTGTGATTAATGACGCAGGTCAATGGGTACACCTCGTTTTTTATGCTAAGATTACGGGATTCGATGCAGTCGTTTAAAGTATATTATTGCTGTTTAATTAAATTGATGAATTTAATATGGCACAGTAACACGTGCATTATAAAGCTCATGGAAAAATTATGTATTTTTTGAAAAACTGTATAATAATAAAATTTTTGGTTTGCTCGGTGAGCTTTGTAACTTTGCTCCGCGCCTTCAGATAAAATCTATTAAATACCTAGTTGTGTGTTTCTCATAATTTAACGCAAAATATTATGTGTATTGCTTACTCGCGTGAAAAGCTTTTTATATCCAAAATAAATGGTGTTCCTCTAAATACTCGTTAAGTACAATAAGTAGGTACCTAAGTTTATATAAGTCATCGTTAAATCAAAATGAATATTAAGTAAAGAAAATAAATAATTAATTGAGAAAGCTTTAAATAATTTGCACTGGTACTATCGTACGCAATATTTTGAGGAAAAAAAAAAATTTGTTTTCATTGCCTTAAAATATGACGATATACCGACGATTTTTTTTGAACGAAACTTTTGAAAAATTAAAACCCAAAACTGTGAAAACTTCTTTAACCATTCCTGTTGCACATGACATCTAAATGAATAGTAATAAGTAAAGGCAAGAATACCCCCTACCCCCTACACCCCCATCCATTATATAGTGAAAAGTTTCACGCTATATACGTACTATGTTTTATTTATAAGTATGTATATATACATATACCGGCAGTTATAACGCAGTACCTATAACCTTCTGCCGTTCTGCCGCCTAATCGTACAAACTTGGAAACTTTCATACGCATAAGGTATAAGTAACTTGCAATTGCAAAGAGTAAGTAAAGCATAGGATACGATAAAAAAAAAACCAATACGATAAGAATAGTCGTGTGGTCTACGTGTAAGTGCTTGCTGGAGCTGTCAAACAAAAATGGATATCTTCAATCTACGACTTTCTGTGGTTGTAGGCACGTTACAAGTGATTTAGAATTTACTACTGAAAATCGAGTTGCATTGAAAATTATTTAACTTACGAGTGTAATAAGAATATAATTCAAGAAATGTGCCGAAAAGCATGATGCAATAAACATAACCTATGTCTTTGGACTTGCGGTCTATTTTTTTGTTTCGTTACGTCTTGTTAAAAAATATTTTTTCTGCCAGAGGACGAGCACAAACTCACGTGCAACGCCGCAAACATGAGGTTTTTTAGGCGCTTCTTTAGCAAAATTTGCTCGTGTAATGAAAGTCGTCTGAGGAACATCTCCGTCGATGCTGTAATGCCAATGTTTATGGTGCCTATCCTTCTACTAACCGCCAGCGAGAATGTTATATGCACGGTGTTAGTCTTTTCAACGTCACCGTTTTTCATCTACTACCTCCACGTCAAGTTTTTACGCTTTTTTACGCGCACCAAGTTCTTTTTCATGTGGACCATCTCAAGTGTCCTTGCGCTGATGCTGGTCTTTGAGTTCAGTGTCGTGCCACTACTAGAAATTTTGCCAGAGGAGAATCTGATCTTCATTATTTGTGTTGTGGGTGGACTTATTTGTGGTCATGAAACACGAAGAAAGTCTGATTGCATGAGCCAAGTAAGCACTTCACAGACCTTAGAACTTGGAGAAATTAACCAGGATGTTTGCAGTACATGTAAGAGGCATGTAACACCCCAAGCTATCCACTGTAAAATATGCCAGACTTGTGTTTTGGGCAAAAAATACCACTGCCATTGGTATTTATTTTATTAATTTAACGTTTTGTGGAAAGGTTAAGATTATATAATAATTATTTATATTTATCATACCAACTACAGGCTGGACAGCTGCATCGGATCTAACAATCTGGTATGGTATCTGCTATGTTTGTTGTTCTCTACTGCGGCTTTTACTTATGGTTCTAATTTAACTATGACCACCGTGTGCCGTCCATATATATTTATTGGTTCAATACTTTTGCCAGATGACTGTAGCGATGTTTACGATCAATTTGAGTATGTTTGAAAATACCATTGTTCTTGCTTATTATTTATTCAAAATTACACTTGTTAATTGATATCCTTTTTTTCAGCCTGGCAATTTGTTTTGTATCATCTGTTTACAGTCTTTTAATTGGACTGATATTATTTTTTTATTTAATTTATCATATTTTGTTACTATGTTTTGGAAAAACCAAATACAGCTATGTGCCAAACAGTGACAGGCAGCACAGTAATGAAATGGGGAAAAATGCTTTACAATTGTTTTGTTGTAAGTCGTGAAAATCAATGTCACTACTCGCTCTTGAAGATGAGTCAAACTTTAGAATGTACTATTTTATTATTTATACTGCTCCATTTACTTAAAACAAAAACTAGAAAGTAAAATGAGGATCAAACGGTGACCAAAACTATTGTCAAATCAAACTAAATATTTTAAGTAAAAATAACGTAGGAAGCAGCATTCCTTATTTTATTTGTAATATATTTATGTACGTACTATTATTATTATACCATGTATACACACATGTGCAGTGTATGTAATGAGTATATTCTATAACTGTGATATACAAAAAAAGTATTATTAAAATCACTAGCAATTAGCTGAAAAATACAGCTATATATGTGAAAGGCAAAAAATACTTGTACAATATTTGTAGCCGTACTTATCTTTGTAAAAGTACGTATGCACCTTTATCACATTGATATTATAAAGATGTAAATCTTGAAGCAGTAACAAGTCGTATAAAAAATATTTTACAGTTTGTACTAAAAATCTAAATGTCTTACATTTTAAAATTAAAAACTTTTTTTTTCGTTTTCGGAGTTTCTGGGATAAACTTTTTGATCAAATCCCTCCATTCGTCCCTCCTCTGTTCACTTTTATTTATTTCACTCGCTACAGACATGTACTGTTTCCAGATATTGAAACACAATTTTTTCAAGTGTTTCTCGTAATGTTTCTTTGCTTTGACTTCTTGCGCGTGCGTTATTATTTTGACTTTAACGCACAGGTAATGCCACACCTTGAAGGATTTTTTCTGCAGATTCATGTCGTAAAAATCCACAGCCACCTGCTGTTTTTGCCTCACGCTCACCGCCAAAGTTCTCCACTCGTCAAAGTTGTACCAAAGCAGATTGTGCCGGTAGAGCTTATCGGCTAGATGCGATTTGGCTTGCAGTTGCTCCGTCCACTCGATCTTCCAGGCGGCAAAAATTTTACCAAGTAGATTATCCTCGTAGTGCTTCTGCGCCACGTTCAAAATTTTTCTATTATCGTCCACAATACCACACAGGGGCTCCACGATGTACCGACGAAATAGATATTTATTGTAACACTGATCCGCAAGCTTTTCAAGATTTCTGTTCCTCTCGATTTCTTTCAGGCGCTTCAGCTCTTGCTCCCTTCGCATTTTAGCCGCCTCTTTCTGCGCCTTCAAAGTGCAAACGCATGAAATGCTCTGCTCATCACTAGCAAGAACAAATTAATCAGTTCTACCATACTCACTTTGATCTGCTGAAGCCTTTGCTCCTCCTCTTCTCGCATGCGGTTTGCCTCGTCCCGTTTCTTTTGCTCCTCCCGTCTGTGCCTACGAATTTCGTCGGCCTGCCTCATTCGCTCCTTTCTCGCATCCGCACGCGCCTCCATCCTCATCAAAAATCTCGGAGGACTCGGCACTCGAGGGATTTCTACGACGGATTGGTCCCTTGAGAAACACGTAAATCTTTTTTTTTATTTTTAATGACACGACAATGAAAACGATCCAACAAAAAACTCGAATAGTAACGTGCTTTTCCAGATGTACTTTGATTGGAAATCGTCATCATCATAAAAATTGTTAGAGCGCAGCAAAAGGACAATGAAAAGAGGAGAACCTGCAGCCCTGTTCCCGCATAAGGTGGATGATGCCCCTCCTGGTGCGCTGGTCACACTGGTCGAGGGCCTGCCTGGCCACCTCGATCGTCCTCTTGGAGGTCTGCCTGGCCGCTCGGTCGAGCTCCTGCAGTTTGGCCTTCTCCTCCTCCTGCTTCTGCTGCTGCCGGCGACGGTGGTGCTCGGCCAGCTTGGCTCTCTTCTCTGGAGCGCCGCCTGCAACGCTCTGCTGGTTTTGACGTCTCTGCAGATCGACCGGACTGGGCTTACTCGGAGGACGAGTGACCCCACGCTTGCCCGGAAGCGCAGGTCCTGGGGTGCTTGGCTTCTCGATCTGCAGCATCAATTCCTTCTGCCTCTCGGCGATGGCGCTCACGAGCAGCTCGATCTTGATCTCACCCGAGGGCCTCTGCTGTGGCTGCTGCGGTTGCTTCGGTGGCTTCACGGGCTCCCGACTGGCCGATGCTTTGGCGCCAGCGGCGAACTCGCGCCAACTCGCTAAGCACCGGCGAAGCCGTCTCCTGGAGCCACGCTCCTCGAGCAGGCTACGTAGCTGGCGCACACGGCGCTCCTGCAACGCGTACAGCTTGAGGACTTGGAAAGCCGCCCGGAGGTGCTCCTCCGATTGTGGCTTGCGAAGACCTGGCTTGTCCTTGATGGTGACTTTTATCACCTCCTCGCTGACCGATTCCACCAAGTTCAGCACCATTGCCAACGATTGTTTGGATACTTAGTCCACAGGGTCTTTCTTTTTTATAATACAACTTGCTCTGGTTTCTGATTGAGCCTTGCAAACAAGGTCTAAATTGCCCTGATGTTTTGTAACGCAATGGCGGACACGTGACTAAATGATTAAATATAATTGCAAAAAGTGCGCGAGTTACACCAATAGGAACTCTCGAGTCCTTTGGAACTTTTGCAATGATTTGCGAGCTTTCGCGTGTATACCGCTAACACTTATTTTTATTCGATCCGACACTTTAAAAATGTACTTATCTGTAAAATTCGTGCCTCACATAATGTAATAAGTACTTCTGCGTTTGAAGAAAAAGTTTTTAATCATGCAATACCTGAGAACATAAAATGCTTGCACGGCAAGTAACACAGTTACGGGAAAAGTATATAAGCTTCTCTTTGCTAATCACGTGCAAGCGCCCCAGTTTTGTTTATTCGCGATTTTCTGTTGCCAGGGTAATATCAGGGTAATATCCGACTGTTTAGGGGGTTCAATTCAAAAGTATACAAGTTTGTGTACGTATGAATATACGCATGCATACAGCCCTATTAACGGACTGAAATGTACTTATATACCTACATAATTACTGCATTGAATCGATTTGTTGTCACAACGCTGTCCCGGTATTACAACTGCTGCGAAATCATAATTTAACACACAACCAATTGAATACTGGAAGCTTTGCAATTTAGGTGGATATATATGCCAAAAAAAAATTTTTGCATATATTTAAAGTCTGATGGTCGTGATAATTTGCTGTGAAAGATTTCTTTTCATCGAAAACATTTACAGATGGATTCTAATTTTCTTGAATGATACTATTCCTGGCTTATTTTAAACAGTTTTTTTTTTTCTTAAGTTTTAAGAATTAAATGTTCTTCGAAATATTTAATTTAATTAAATTGAAAATATATTTTTGCAGTACTTTGTAATTTTTTTTTTTTTAGATGGAAACAAATGACCAAGTGACAGATGTAAGGTAATATTTGCTGAATGAGAATTTCTTATTTAGAAACATAGAAGATCGGATAATGTATCAGACCGGCCGAATTGTTATAGGTAAAATAAAGTTATTTCTTTACAATTTCTAAACAAACAAGCTCAACTGACATTTAATTTAAAAAAAAAAAAAAACTATTTTCCGTTTTACCGAGAAAATTTTTCGGGCGGTACATTTTTTTCCAAGCTTTGCTTCAAAAATTTTAATTGATTGAATAAATTTGACCAGTCAATGAGAATTGACCCCTACGTGTGATAAATAAGAGCTATGACTGTAAACACGGATTGTTCCAAAGTTTTACAGCACATGAAGTGCTTCGAATTTCTGAATCGAATTGCTCTAGTTTTGCAACCGTTTGCAACTAACCACCACTATCCGACAATCCGACGATCGACCGACCGACCAACCTATACTAAAAACGCATAGACGTATTATTTATGTATATACATATTTACATATACTTATGAGGTGTGCACATACCAGATACCTATTTAAATTTAGTCTCCGTCTACTTAGTTCGGCGACACAAGATTCAAGAGAGTTCGTCCAGAAGGATCATCACTATCTAACCTGTTGTTGAACAATTTTTACCCAATACAAACATCTAACTTCTTTTTGTGTGCGTCCTGGTTACGTTTATTATAGCATTAAAAAACACTCCATCAGCTCTGAGAGAGAGGGTTGAGAACAACCAAAAGTAAGTACTTGAAGTTGTAGAGATCGATCACTAATCACAATAATATAAATTTCACCAAACAACTAAGAAGCCTGTGCTCGTTACTAGTTAATATTGTTACACTTAGTAAGTTCTTAAATAAGTACATATCCCATAAAACTTTCAGCACCGTATACACTACCTACGTTTATCAAGTATCAACTTCACGTTGTAAGTACATCACTATCACTTTTCAATCTCTCGACTCTCTATCTTATGCGTGTGCAAACGAATACATATACGTATCACTATTAGCTTACATATTATATACACAATACGTTTAGGCACGTTTTTTGCTGCTTGCATTTGCGATTTTTCATCCTACTTATAATATAATTCTGTAAGTATATATCTGCACCCCGAGCAGATTTATATGTTATAATGTGCAAGTTGCTTGGATAATTTGTTATATTCTTCACCTGTTATATTTCTATCATTCACCTGTGCATCGATACTTATACCTTTTTGTTAATTTTGTAACGCGATGTATTGCTACGACACTCGACAAAATTTACATGTACCATTCTTTTTCGGTTCTAAGTATCTATGTATAATCTGTAATCCAATTTTTTTTTATTCACTTAGTCTTAACCGAGGTTCTCTTGGCTCAAAGATATGCGCTGTTATAACATTTGGTGATTGTGTCGAGAGTCTTTTAACCAAAGTTTTTGCTTTACCTCTCTCTTTGTAATTTTTATTTCAAAATTTCCCTTTTGCTTTGTTTATTTTTGTTTTTTTTTCCACCCTCGAGAGACATCGTTATTTTGATAAGAACTATTTTTATGTAAAATACTTGTAATATTCTTTGGAACTTGAACAAACCTATACATTTCAGAAAATGTGATGATTATTGGCCTTTCTGAAATTTGATTTTACGCAAACATTGGTTGCAAGTTTTTTAAATTATTCCAAGTACTATGGAGGGCTTGGCTGAAAAAGTTGAACACTGTGATAATCAAGAGAAAATCGTTAATTATGATGATGTACACATGGAAGAAGATACATTGACTGAAAATACATCAAACGAAGCGATATCAATAAATGGTTCAAGTAAAAATGAAAATCAAGATGATGAAGAAAGTAAAACTGCTGATGAGGTCTTAAAGAAAAAAATTAATGGAGAACCAAATAGTATTCTTGATGATGATAAATCAGTGAGTACTGCAACAGAAACCTCATCAAATTGTGATGATAATACTGCTAAGAGTGTGGAAAAAGAAGTGCTTGTAAATGATCAGATTTCTCCTACAAAAAAAAAGAAGCTGAATACAAAAGAAGACGCAATGAGTGAATCAAACTCCAAAGGTATTAAAGATCAATATTATTCATCAAGACTGTACTTCAAATTAATATCGATTTTTAGATGAATTAGGCTATAAAAATGATTTGAACAAGTCTGATAGTGATGACTTAAACAAAGACAACACTGAAAAAGATGAATCGACTTCTCAATCTGAACCCAGGAATCCATCAAGTTTTAAAAAAGTTGAATCCAAAATTAGAAAACGAAATTATCGTCGTCAACAAAATTCTAGTGATGTCAATGATCAAATTAGTGATCATGAAGAATTAAACGAAAAAAAAGACGAGAATTCCGAAAGTTCTTCTGATTCTATAGAATCTGATGAGAGAAGGACAGAGGACAACTCCGATTCAAGAAGAAGAGCAGCAGATAGTTCTGATTCAAGTAGTGATTCTGATAGGGGTAATGGTAAGTTTGTTCAAATCATTAAAAATTTTTTTTTTAAACTGAATGACTGGTAATTAATAAGACGATGCGTGCTCGGGAAATATTCATAAATAATAATTTTTCTTTACTTATAATAAATAACAACCATGTTTAGATGATGCTGATTCTATAATATATACATCTGCTAGTGATGATGATCATGATCACGAAATGCCTGCTGTTTTACAAAAAGAACCATTAAAATCTGATTATTCTATTTTGAAAGATATCATAAATCGACAAATTGGATCAAATAAATTCTTAGCACAACGATATTACAGTTCACTTCATGTGGTTCAACGTTTCGAACTAATGTCAAAACTTAAAGAACATACCGTGAGTTTTTTTACATACTCTATTCAGTATTTCATAAGAAACTTCTCAGTCTTTATAATTTTCAATTAATTTGCAAATTTGCTCTTCAGGGTTGCGTAAATTCTTTAGATTTTAATAATAAAGGAAATCTTCTCGCAAGTGGCTCAGATGATTTAACTATTGCAATTTGGGATTGGGCATTGGGAAAAAAATCTTTATCCTTGGAATCAGGTCACCGAAGTAATGTTTTTCAATCCAAATGGTTACCTCTGGATGTAGAAAATTTTTTAGTATCCAGTGCTCGTGATGGGCAAGTGCGATTAATGGATATTACATCAAAAATTACTCGAAGATTAGCCCAACACAGAAAAGCTTGTCATAAAATTAGTACCCATAAGGATTTACCCCATATTGTACTCTCTGCTGCCGAAGATTCAAAAGTTTTATCAATTGATGTACGAGAGGGTAAACCAACAAAGTAAGGAAAATTTTTTGATAGTCATATCTTTTAGGAAAAATGAATCTAACTACTTTAGTTATGTAATAGATTATTGTCAGTATGTGAAGACAATCTAGAAGTCGAATTGTACAGTATACATTCAAACCCTTTGAATAACTGCGAATTTTGCATCGCTGGTCGAATGCGTAATACATTAGTATATGATAAGAGGAAACTAGCTGAACCCTTATACCAGTTATGTCCCAAACATTTGGTATGTTTAATTCAAATTTTAAAAACTCAAAAAATGTAAACAATTATTTCTCATTACCTTCTTGATATTTGGTCCAAAGTTGTCAGATAATAATGTCCATTTAACATGCGCCGTGTACAATTACAACGGCACTGAAATAGTTGGTTCATATAACAACGAAGACGTTTATTTGTTCGATGTGAGTTCATCGTATCAGAGTGGAGATTTTGCTCACAAATATCAAGGACATCGCAATAGTGCTACTGGTATACCAAAATTTCTTAAAATTTATAAAACAAACATAATTTCAGATAAAAAACTATTTCCCCTGTCTATTTTTTTTTTTTTTTTTTTTTTCAGTCAAAGGTGTAAATTTCTTTGGACCGAAAAGTGAGTTCATATTATCCGGCTCAGACTGCGGAAATATATTTATTTGGGATAAAAAAACTGAAGCGATTGTGCAATGGATGCCTGGAGATGAACACGGAAGTGTATGTTTTGTAAAATTTATATTTTAAGTAGTATAGTACTTATATAACTCACGAAAAGTTATCACAGGTGAACGTTTTGGAGTCTCATCCCCATATTCCAATTTTAGCTACAAGTGGTTTGGATTATGATGTGAAAATATGGATACCATCACGAGAATCAACACCAAATATCAAACAAAAACTACAATCGGTAAATTTCATTAGCGCTTCTGAAACTGATTTTTTTTCTTAATAAAAATTAATGTTTTGGTTAATAGTGCGTCAAGAAAAATCTAGCAACCAGAGAAGCGAATAGCGCTTTTGATGGAAATATTTTGTGGATTATGTTAAGGCGCCTTCATCAGCAAAGGCCTAGGGTATAAACAAATTTGTTTATTTTGGTTCATAAAAGATTATAATAGAAAATCGTTAACATGTACAAATAACTTTTCAGGCTTTTTTAAATCGGAATGTGAGTAGAAATGGAGACACAAGTGATGAGTATAGTAATTCAGATGAAGGAAACGAAGACGATCATGATGATGAAAACGATGCGTCTAGTGATGATTGATTTAAAATTTAATCCTAATTTTAACAAAAGCAATAATATGCTAAAAGTTGTTAATTTTTTTACCGTAGTAAGCATAAATGCTGCTGTTTCTTAACACTCATTAAATGGAAAAAAATGAAAGCCTTAAAAATTAACATTTATAAATTTTGATAACTAAAACTCGTCAAATAAAAAAAAAGACTGAATTAATTTAAAATTGAATACAGAATAACATCACATTAGTATAACTTGAAATTACTTAAATCTGTAATTTTTAAGTGCTTGTACAGTTTAATAAAAATTTGTTCCACAAAATTAAAAAAAAAATTTCTTGTATTTCTAATGATTATCATTACTTACATATGGTACAACTGTTATTAATATATTACGAATTTTAGACATAGAAAACCTTAACACATTAACTATTAGAAAATACCAATAGCATAAGCAAGAGCAGCATAAATGTGTAACGTAACTGCACCCATGACTGTCGCAGTGATTGCTTTTATGAATATTATTGACCAAGGTCCAATGAAAAATGATGTCACAAGAAAGTCTGAAATTAGTGGCTTGTAGACTGTAAGCAGCAGCATGCAGACAACAATAGGAACTAAACTTTTCTTCAAATCATGTCTTGACCAAAGCCATACCAAAGTTGCAGTTGTAATATGTTGAACCTTTAAGAATTTAAGTAATGATTTCAGATTATTGCATATATCATGGCAATTATTTATCATAAATTTAACAATAATCAAATCAAGTTCTTACAAGGCATATATTAGATTCTAAACTTTTTTGAATGTACTTCCAATCAAATTCTGCTCCTCTAGCTCCAAACCAGAGTAAAAGAAACCTTGTCAAAATAACTTCAGCAGCAGCCCATCCTATTCCTGCTGACAATACTTTAGCATGACCTTTGCCGGGTATGCTACTTAATACTAGATAAATTCCTACTAAATCGGCTAAATCAATGGATGACTTAAAAAACTCCTAAACATAAAAATGCACAGTGTCAAAAATTAAATATTGGTATGAATTAAAATTTGATGTATTTTAATTATAACTTACGCCCAAAAAATCAAAGCCCTTGTATCCTATGTTGTCTGCTGTTGGAAAGAAAGTTGCTAGAGCAAGCATCTTTGCAAGCTGTGTAAAAATGTACATTCCTCCAGCTTGAATGCATTTCCAAAAAGCACCATACTCCGATCTAAAAGTTAAATGTGCATTATTTTAATAAGTACCTTTTCTACTAAGAAGTTTATTAAATTTATCAAAGATACTTACAATCCTGAGTATTTATAGGTTAAGTAATATGGAACATAAACTAAGGCTAGACAATTACCAAAGTGGTACAAAGTCATCTTGTTTTCTTTCAATTACGCTTTGTATTTATATGACGATCATAAATGAAACTTATATCCCTAACTATGTGTTAAGAAAAAATACTTGTTGAAGAGAAAATAATGTAATAATACATCCGGACAAAAGAGCCAGGGGTGTATCGTATCGTTCGTATACAACTGTTTTTTTTATCACACAGGGCTGGCTGGCTGGCTGGCTTAGTGTGCGCCATGTCATCAATCAGCTGTGATGGTGGTGCTTTTTAAGAATTCTTTTATGAATAGAATTGTAATGTGATTTCCCGAAATTCATACGCTCAATTTGTAAAGGAAACATAATAAATAACGTGATTTGTTGTAACTCAACTGTGATCGAAAAATTAGTTCTCGCAACTACCCAACTTTTCCGTCTGTCAGCTTGCAAGTTTTTTAAAGAATTATGTTGTAATTATTCTTTGTTTTGATGATATTTTTATTTTTTAGATATATCGTTCATAAGACGTTAACAAACTAAAGAAGACTGTTGTATGACATGTAGATGGAATGTACGTAGTTGCTTATAACAACACACACACACACACTGATACACATTAAGTAACAATGACAAAGAGAGGATGATAGTCGATTGTTGATGAAAGTATATTTCGTCAATATGTCAGTTCAGTACTTACCTGTCATAAGAGGTACTCAGGATTTTTTTGTGTTCTAGTTGAAAGTGGTAATAACTGATAATCAGTATAATTATTATGAACCGTTTTCCAGTTTTATAAATTTGAAATACGAAAACTTAGTCTTGTAAACGTTCTTTTTTCAACTTTTTTTCTCACTTATACATTATATTCACATTATATTTTGAAAAATAAAATGTTTCATATCATCCTCTTTCTTGGTAGTTTTTTTTTTTATATATATATTTTTTCTCATGTTTTACATTGATCAAGTACTTAAATAATACGTTTAACCACAGATTAGCATGTGCAGTGACTCTTAAATTACTAAAATGCAACCGCAATCATCTGTAGCCCCAAGAAAGCTGCCAGTCTTCGTATTTCCTCAAAATGTTGTATTTTATCTTGAGGATCAGTCGACACACAAGCAAATTTTAACATTATACAATCCTTATGATTTTCCGGTAAAATTTAAAGGTACAGTTACTTAGACTGAGATTTACCTTTTTTCTTTCTCATAAAGTCATACATTATTATTATTTTGTTTATCTAGTTTTCTGCACTGCACCAAACAAATATGTAGTGGTGGATCCAGAAGGAATTATCAAGGCTAGATGTTGTGTGGACATTGTAATTCGGCATATGGCTTTAACACCACTTAACTGTACCATCGACAAGTTTAGAATACAAATGCTTGATCATCCTTCAAAGCAAGTATGTTTTTTAATCAAACATGATACAAATGCTTCATTTGTTTTTGACAATAATTGTTTATAAACGTGTAGATCATAGGAAAAAGAGATATTGAAGCTAGGGTTATTGCTGGATTTCCAGAACCTGCAGAAAGAGCAACTCCTGATCCGGATTTGTTTCAGCAACTTCCAAATACTGGGAAAAATCAGCAGTCTTATGCTGTGATATCCCACAATAAACCAATAAATAGTAAGTTACTTTGCTACCTTTTCACTCTAACTTCTATGCTTATAACTTATTACAGGAACAAATAAGTAATATACTTAATTAACTTTTTAGAAGACACAAATTATGTAGCACTTTTAGCTGGCTTAGTTTGCATTATCGGATTGTTATTACCTACCGAAGGTGATCAAAGTAATCGAATACCAGACTACCTTCATCTATCTAGCCATATTAAATTGATCCTATCATTTGTTTTGGGTAAGATATTTTTAGTAGACATTTACATCTTTTTCAAAATAATGCTATAACTCATATGTTTACTATTGCAGGAATGGTTACCATAATCGTCTTGAGGCTTTAACTGATGTACATTTTGTAATGTTGATATTGAACTTGAAATTTTGTATACTTTTTATATACAAAATTTGCTTCTGTGCGATATTTTAGCGTACTGTATAATATTTTTGTATGTGTCTAAAAGACCAAATGTGAACATTTTTTAATATTTACAAAACGAAAAACTTTCATTTGTACATAATTACTTTGCGTCTATATGTAAAAATATTTTGTAAGAAATAAAATTTTATATTAAAATGAATTTTTCGAACAAAAATATTCAAGTATTATTGTTAGCCACGCATAGAAAATATGAAACTCCTTCGTAATGAGCCAAATCAGTAGTTCATAAATAACAAGGCAAATAATATTTATTCATCTTCTTTATTTTGTTGTTTCATTAACATTAAGGATTTTTACAAAACAGTTTACTTTTCCTTATCCAAATTAACTGTGGAAAAATGAGACTGTAAGTTTTTCATTATTTCTTGTCTTTGAAAGGTCACTTCTTTCCGACAAATACTTGAAAAAATCAATGGGCACTCATAGTCGATTTTTTCAATACATTTCGTACTTTTACCCTCTGGTACGAAAATAAATTCCGAATATGAATTTACTGAAAATGTGTGAAATTGTAAATTACTTGGTTTTAAAATCACAATCAGATTTTAGTACTTGACTTACAGCAGCTCATTCCCATCAAAAAACAAGTGCGATGTTTCGATTCGATCACAAAACCCACAGCTTTGGGTTTGACTGAATAATGTCCATGAGCAGTATTTTGAACGATCGGAAAATGACTCAAGCGTTCTGTATACTTTACAGAATATTTCCAGTGGTCGTAATTTCCAGACTCATCAATAATATCAAACTCTTTGCTTAAAAAATTTTTTTTTCGTTTTTTAAATAAATTAAAGACTAGTTTCTCTTTTTTCATGACTGATAAAAAAAATTATCCTTTTATTTCTAATACATCAGCATGCATTAAGATCGAATATTTTTAACTTTGATGTATACAATATTCGGAACAATATTTTTTTTGTATAAAATAACTTACATAGTAGGATTTAACTTCATCATATTACTAAAATCAGCAACGTATTCCCAGACGTACTTAGGTTCAGAATCTACTACAGCTTTATAAAGTAAATGGTGCGTCCATTTGTAAATAAAAAGAAGGTAAAATCCAAACAAACCCAATCCAGAATATCCCAGAGTTCGGGTTTTCCATTTCATTGGATTTATGTACATACTTAAAAAAAAAGTTAATTCTAACAAATATGCCGATTTATGTTCAAATTATTGCTATTCAAATTACAAAAATGCTATTGTAAAACATGGTAAAATTAATAGATATGTCGCGATTCTTTACGAATAAATTTTTTTTTTTTTTTTTAAATACCTCTTTTTTATAGTAAAAACTTTTTAGTATAACAAATGTTGGCTTCACTTAAAAATTTACGAGATAAAACGATTTCCGCTGAAAGGAAGCGCTGACTGCCTACGCTAAGATAACTCTAAACTGAACTGTACACTTTTGAACGCTTGTAAACGCTGACGCTATACTCCCACATCTTTTTCAACACGTGTGATAATACAAGATCAAAAAAAGGGACAGAGACACGCATACATGGCATCCCCCACTTCTGTAGACCTGCCCCTTCCTCTATGCAGAAATATCCAAGAAAATTTTATTTCGATTTCAGAATTTTCTCCTAGCCTATTTAGTTTGTCGCAAGATATCTTTTTACATTTGTACTTACACATCTGTACTTTTTTAACATGCTTTAAACATAATAATAATAATAATAATAAACCCGTTCACCTCTACTTTCATAAATACTCATAAAACTATTGTAGACTGTTTCTCTTGAGTTTCGAGCTTTTTGACATGCTTCTTTAACAAATTATCCCACTGTAACGTTGTATCTGAATTTTTAGCTTTAAATGGAATAAGCCGGATGAAGCCGTTTTGATAACCCACGGCAAGCCATAAGAAACTCCGAGCATTAGGACTCCATGAAACCTGTAATAATTATAATTTCAACTTAATAAAAATGTTTTTAAGTTTTTTTTATGACACCAGTATCCGAACAATGTTACAAACCCTATTTACAGCCATAAATGGATACTGTTCTAGTGGCACTTCCTCCATTGCTTCACATGCAAGAGTTTTACGTCTTTGACTTTTTTTTAGAACATACCATTCTTTCTGGAAATTCTAAAAATTAAAATATATTTAATTAATTATATAA